TTTAAATATGGGCCCGGCTCGGGGTTGTGAGCCATCATGCCCAACCCTCCTACACTTACTATCATCACCGAAGAGGGCATTTTTGCTCTGAAGACTCCCAGACATGCTGCAGAGGAAGCACCTCAGCACAGAAGTCCCGCACAGCATCACTCGGTGCTTTTTAGCTCCTGGAAAGTGAAACAAACAAAAAATGTTGCCTTCAAAGGGTCTTTATGGGTTAAAAATGCAATTACTCACTGTTACAGCCAGCTTAATAACCAACTTAATTCCCAGCTTCAGCTTAATAGCCCTTTGTTAAACTGGGTGTTAAGACTGTTAATCTAACTGAGCAATGACACCCTGCAGCTCGTTCTAACCCATCTACCTGGGGTCCTTCCCTCAACACGCACACCTAGCAACCAGAGCCTCCTATGGGTTTGTTCTCACTTTCCAACAGATACCTGGCTTTTTGACACACAAGTTATTAATAAGTCCTACACTCTCTGGCCAGAGAGGTTCTTATTCCCTCTTTCACCTTGTTTCAGCTACTGAACAGACATTCCCGGCACATGGAGTTACACACACACACAAAGTCATATTTAGACCAACAGGCCCACAGCCTCCATGTGAATAAACACCAGACATTCGTGTTTAAGGAAACATCTCATCACTGTAATATCCAAAATAAAACAAGCCTAGAAGTGATACAACAGCACTTGGTTTGAGTCTAGTCCTCTGAATTTCAATTTCTTCCATAATTAGATCTGGAATGATTACAAACTTCGGTGGAATCCAGCAGACTACGGAGGTGCTGAATTCATCCGAGTACCATCTGGACAGATCTGGAAGCCAGATATTGTTTTATATAACAAGTAAGACTCCTGCATATTTATCTTCTTCATTCGGGAAGAAATGCATCCCTGCATCCCCCATCTCCCTACTGCTGTACACACATCTCTGTGCCATCTACATCAGCATGACCGAGCAGGAGCCAGTTCCTAACCCGTAGCTGCAAGGAGGCAGGCCCAAGTGAACTTTGCTTTTCCCCTTCATAAGCTCCCACTTTTACTATTATTTTTATCATTATAAGGAAGGTGGCAAGAAATTTGCTTACACTGGAGAGTTCTTGTCTGAGAGTCAGACATTTTACTGAAAAAAATGCAAATTCTAGCTTTTTAGCAGTTCCACACACATTTTGACACCTGCTCAATCTAGAACAGAATAGAGTAAAATAGTTCAGTTGGAAGTGACCTACAACCATCACCTAGTCGGACCGCCATGTGCAATCTCCGATCTGCTGCTTTGAATATTGATTGCACTCAGCCATGTTACTACAAGGGAAAATACTACCTTTCAAATCCTCCATGCTAAGTTTATACAGCTGTTTGTTTCAGCTTAACTATGTAAATTTGTGACAGCCGCTGACTCAGTACTGCACATGCAATTCAGCTCCATGTCAAGATGTAATTGCTGACTTTCCCAAAACAGATTAAAGAATTAAGGTATATGACCTGAATGTATGAAACTACCTGGAGCAGTTGCATTCTAATTTTTGTTATTTTTATTTACTTTACAGTGCAGTTGGGGATTTTCAGGTTGATGACAAGACAAAGGCCCTATTAAAATACACAGGTGACGTGACCTGGATACCTCCGGCTATATTTAAAAGCTCATGTAAAATAGATGTAACCTACTTCCCATTTGACTACCAGAACTGCACCATGAAGTTTGGTTCCTGGTCTTATGATAAAGCCAAAATTGACTTAGTTTTAATTGGCTCTACAATGAACCTGAAAGATTACTGGGAGAGTGGAGAGTGGGCTATTATTAAAGCTCCTGGGTATAAACACGACATCAAATACAACTGCTGTGAAGAGATATATCCAGACATCACATATTCTCTTTACATTAGGCGTTTACCTTTATTTTACACTATCAATATGATTATTCCATGTCTGCTGATTTCTTTCCTGACTGTACTAGTTTTCTATTTACCTTCAGACTGTGGTGAGAAGGTGACACTCTGCATATCAGTCCTTCTATCTTTAACGGTGTTCCTTCTTGTTATCACAGAAACCATACCTTCCACTTCCCTGGTAATTCCACTTATTGGGGAATACCTCCTTTTCACCATGATATTTGTAACTCTATCTATTGTCATTACGGTGTTTGTACTTAACGTGCACTACAGAACACCCAAGACGCACACAATGCCTGTGTGGGTGAGAACCATTTTCTTGAACTTACTTCCCAAGATAATGTTTATGACAAGGCCTGCCAGTGATGAAGAGAATAATCAGAAGCCAAAACCATTTTTCACATCTGAGTTTTCAAACTTAAATTGCTTCAACAGTTCCGAAACCAAATGCTGCAAAGATGGCTTTGTATGTCAAGATATGGCATGCAGCTGTTGTCAGTATCAACGAGTGAAGTTCTCGGATTTCAGTGGCAATCTCACAAGAAGTTCAAGCTCTGAGTCTGTAGATCCGCTGTTTTCATTTTCAGTTCTGTCACCAGAAATGAGAGATGCTATCGAAAGTGTTAAATACATTGCAGAAAACATGAAAATGCAGAATGAAGCAAAAGAGGTAAGAATATATTTTACTATTACTCAAACTGCAGACACCATTTGCCATTAGTGTGTTTTTTAAGAAAAAGATCTCAAAAAAAAAAAAAATTGTATTTTATACAAGTAAATTACACAAGCTGTATTACAAATAGGTGCAATTTTGCACATAAATAATTTGGGGATCAGCTCTGTGCACAACAGTCTCTTTACTGACAACACATATACTGGGTGAAGCATGTTAAGGTAACCACTGCTAGGGTTATAATACTTGAGTATCCATCCTGCAAGATTTGGAGTAAGGATTTTATCAAGTTATAATCTTGATAGTGGAATTTGCTGACTCTGTGGCCTTTAGGAATTTACGTTCTCCCTCCCACACAGACTGAATGTCCTTCACTGTGATGTTGCTTATTGTGCTGCTGCTGCTGCAGAGTAAAATGCTGTAGCTAAATGAGACCAAGACGGGGACCATCATCTTTCCTAAAAGTTTTCTTTTTATCATGTTCCTCAAACATAGTAAGAACAGTAGCCACACCACCATCATCTGCACTGAATTTAAATCCTCTGCAATATGGCACTTAAAGTTACAATGAAGTTTTGTTTATGCTGAAATAAAAACTTTATTTAGAACTAGTTGGTATAGAAAATATGGGGCTGTTTTTAAGTCTGCTGTAACAAACAAGTTCTAAGCTAAAAAGCACAAAAATTCAAAACCAACAACTGCACTAGTCATTTATTAGCCTTCCTGCAAAGAAATTAAGTAATTATAATCTCAATGATCACCTAATGTAGTTACTATTCATATACAATGTATATAATACTTCAGTGTCACCTTTGTTATAATGCCCACTGTAAAACAAAAAAACAAAACAAAAAAACAACAAAAAAGAAAATTGTTTTTTTGGAAACTTGGTTCCCTCTCTACATGAAAGGTAAGGAGATTAATTTTACATCATGCATGAGAACAATCAAATTTCACTACTACACAAGAAACATACCAAATAATTATATACCAATTAACCTTTGTCTTTTTACATACTACTTAAAGATCAGTAGGAGCAGTCTGTTTTAGTAAAGTTTTCTGGACAAAGCTAATCATCTAAGAATGTGAAGCTTTTCACTTTCATTTTTGGCATACAGAAGAGAAATTGTATCTTGTGAAGTCCAGTGTCTTGGTGAATAACTTTCTGTATTTGAAAAAGTAGTTTTTGACTTTGTCACAAATAGCATATTCAAATAAAGCTTCTTTAAGATGAATTCATTTGTCAATGAAAACCGAGATATGTCAGTTATGCATATATGAAAGACATCTACTTATGGAAAAAACCTGTACTTCCTGTATAAAATTATATTAATTGCTAATGCAAGTTATTCATCTAATAAACATACCTCCTTTGCTATTCAATTTATTTTTCAGATTCAGGATGACTGGAAGTACATTGCCATGGTAATCGATCGTATTTTTCTATGGGTTTTCATCCTGGTATGTATTCTAGGAACAGCAGGACTGTTTCTACAACCTTTGATGGCTGGAGATGAAATGTAAAGATTAAATAGTATGTTGTAAAATCAAATAAAACTTTTGTCAACTCTGCACCCTCACCCCAGCACCTGATGTCTCTTCTATGTGTAGCAGAATAAAGATCTCTCTTGGCCTCAAGTTTGCTTGACTACAAAGGCTTTATTGAAAACGTGAAAATATGGGGTTAAAAAAAATTAAATATTTTGAACCTTTACGACAACTAATCTTAAAGTAATATGAGCTACACTTGACAGCTACTTTTTGCAGTAACTGGAAGAGATGTAGGTAGTACACTGAACTTCATAGAAAAGAAGAGGCTGAAAAAGAAACTGAAAATTACATGCATATTTGGAAAGTCAAGGCAGGCTGAATACTTTGGGCTATCAGATTTGTTTCCAGAAGTCTAGTGCCAAGTCTCTTAAGATCATGACAGGATCTCCTGGGAATGAGTTCATATGAATAAGTTCAATAAATGCCCACATGAGGACAAAATGGTTTAGGAAGCATACATACTAAATTGCTAGAATGCAGACATTGCCACCTGGTGTATAAACTGACTCAAATGGTGAGAGGAAAGGACCATGGGTAGGTTTATTACAAAAGGAACACAAGTAGGTAAATAATAGATTATGGTAATAAAGCAACTATAATGTAAACTCTGTGCATCCCCATATTTCAGTGTATGAAAAGACTGTCAGAAAAAACAAGCTATTTGAACCTAGTAATGTTTAAAACCGTGCAAGTAAAACACGCACTAAGATGCAGTCTGCAGGTTATGCAAACGATTAAAATACTTTGATAGGACAGTTTGGATACAGAAGCATCCTGCTATAGCAAAATGTTTTGTGACAAGGGAAGGCAGCAGATACAAAATAGTCCTGTCAAGTATGCTAAAATTGCTTCTTAGGCATACATTTTATTTTTTTTAAATCAGTAACTGCAGATAAGAGCATGAAGAAAGAATGCAACAAAATACTGTAATAAAATATTTTGTTAAAATATGAATTGTTCATTCTGTACCAAACTGGAAACTTTTTGGAAATACTGTGTATCAAGTGATGTAACATTTATGAAAATAAAGAGAATCAAGCTGTTGAAAATTGTGCTGCTTTATTTTTTTTGTTTCATATATTTTGACCAAGTGACAAAACTATGTAAGGTACCATTAGCTACAGTTCGACACATTCAGACACAAGTTACATAAGTAAAGGTGCATGCTTCTGAGTCTATTAAAATTATTTTGTTTCAGACACACCTAATGATAAGCTGAAGACCCCAAGGTCTAGTATCTTATGTGTATTTATCATGATCAGATTGTAGAAGATGCTAAAAAAATTCATGCATTTGCAAAAATTGTGAGTTATGAGTACAAAAATTGTGACTCCCTTGGCCAATATGCTGCCAATCACCTGATGATATAATTGGGCAGTCTACAGGCATCATTTAACAAGGGGAAAGAGATGAGGTGGGAGTTAAAAAAATAATATATGTAACTAATCTGTAGTTTTACTTACTTTGCTTTCTGTTCAGGTAATAGTAAACTTCAGTAATTCAAACCCAAGAAGGACTATAAAAAGAAATTTTGCATATGAAGAGGAAATAAGATATCTAAAGTATTTCTTCAACTTCCACACAGAAAAAGTCACTGATGCATTCCTTAATCTTAGAAATACTGTGAAAGTTAAAATTATTATAGTAACAGACTAAATCAGATAATCTTTGCAAATTCACCTTTAAAATGAATTATGATGGGAATAGAGGAAATACGGCTCTCCAATGCCAGGTGCAATTGTATAACTGAAGAGGAAGAGTGACCCCCTTTACAATCAGAATTATTTACAAATTGGTATTTAAAAAAAAAAAAAGAAAGAAAAAAAAGGCGTGCCTGACATAATTTACTGTCTGTGAGCCTTAAAAAGCTACACAAAAGAATGTCCCTATGGGTGAAAACCATTTAAACAATTTGAAATAAATATTAAATTATATGTAAGTTATGACATAAGCAATTAGTATTATAACCAGTACAGTGCCAAACAGTGCTATTTTAAAGGAGATGAGCGCAGGACGGGGAAACATGTATCTGTTTTCCAAATTCATAACCACTATAAAAACTTACATTATCAAAGATACCACAATTTACAATAAACTTCTCACCTCAACATATTATTAATGTAGTAATTTAAGCAAACAAAAACTTTCCAAGACTCGCTCTCACTTGGCATTACTGTATTAGCCCTGCAGGATGCAATTACATTATGAAGTACACTGACAAAACTTTAGTGTAGGAAAACCCCCATCTATTTTAGAGTCTCTTCCAGAAACAGAGCTTTTAAGAAAGGTGGCATTGGAATGAATGTAAAGAATTTACAAATCAGTATTTAAATAATATATTTTAATGGAATAATTAAAAAGTTGCAAGTTAGTTTTCAATACTCTCAGAAAAAGAAAAGTATGGAAAGCTGTAAGTCCTCACTGCTTAGTTACAGATGGTTGTAGAAGTGAGAGAACCTATTAAAGGCAGCTCTCCAAGTCTGGTTTAACAAATGTGTGAAAACTTACTCATCTGTATTTGGTTACACAGCATAATAATTTTCGTCCTATTTCCTTTGGAAAGGCATTCCCCAAACTCCTTCTACCTGTGCCTAAAAACTGAACTCTGAGAAACACACAAAGGCAGGAAATTATTAACATGTTTGCAACTAACGTAGTGTATCAAATTCTTCCTCTTCATAAAGAAATCTGAATGTTCCAGTTGATTAGAATACTTGTGCAACTTGGGAACTCCTTTGTCTTTGCCTTCCTTTCCATAGCCGATACAGAGACACCCATATACATGTATCTTGCAGACGTTTTACGGCTTACTGTATTAAATGGTCATGATAGTATGATAGAATTAACAACGTTTTAAATTTAGCAGCAAATTCCACTGAAAAATTAAAAATGCAAAATATAGCCAAATCGCTACTTTTACTTTTATGTGGAAAATATGGGAAGTTTTACTGGTATTTTTATTAATGTTTTAAATTTACTCTGTAGAAATTTTATACTTTTACAACACATTCAAGACAGCTGATAAAAATTCGTCTTTGCATACTGTAGCAAACTGAAATAAGCAACTCTGTGTAAATACCTGCAGATATTAATACTCAATATAACAATTTAGAGAGTAATTGAATAATTGGACTATCAATTATTATTTAAAAATTTAAATTCTTCTATTTTGCAGGAAGTGTCAGCATATGCTTTTCTGACATACACATGCAAGTCCTTAAGATGTCCTTTTAATTCTGACCTGATTTAGAAGTAACTTAGACTGTCAATAAGCAAATTGATTCCTATGCCTCCTAGGGATGCCATGCATTAATATAAACATAATTTTCTGGTTTTGGATTTTTTTTTTTTTAACTCTATCAGAAACATACCTACAAAGAACGTGCATGGAAACAGAGCTACTGCAAAACTCTTTAGAGCCATATTAGCAGTAGACAGATAAAAAAATATTTTATGTATTTGTACTGCCTATATGCATGGGTACTATTATACTTGCCCATTTATGAATAACAGGAATAAATAACACAAGTGATCCAATTATTGAAACCAGAAGAAAAGTCCATAAGAACATTCGATCAAGCACCTGAGCAATAAATTTCCAGTCTTCAACAACCTAAAAAATAAAGAGCATAAGAGTCATTCAGAATGCGTGAGAACAAGTAAACATACAGTACCAAACACTACAATTCTTAATCACTTTACAGTACACTTTTTTCCAATCAAGTTCATTTGGTAACTCCCTTTAATAACTTTTTATAATTAAACCATAAGCTAGAACAGGAACAAACTGCCCTCTAGGAAGATATTGGTCAACTATATAGACCAATACTAGACTGTGATGCAGAAACTGACCCTGACAAGCACTGAACATCCTCAACTACAGACAGATGAAAACTGTGCGATTTCCTAACATATTGCAAGATTCAGGATTTCACAGCCTCATTGTAAAGTGGAATTCCCAGGCAGGAGCTAGAAGCAAAAGCTGCTTAAAAAACCCCAAACAAACCATGAAACCAAACCAACCAAACAAATAACAAACCAAAATAAATGTAAAGAAAACCAGCAGACAGTAGCTGTTGTGTTACATACAAGATCCGAAAGCTGTGAAGTTACTGCTGCACAGAATTAGACACTAGGGAGATCATTTTCCTTTTTGATAGGATCATTCATATCTATACACTGCTTTGCAAGTACAGCAGATATAATTGTGTGAGCAAATTAAAACCCTGCCAAATCAATTGTCTTTGATTTGAACTGGAGCTATTCACATTTCCCAAGCCTACTGCTTCCTAAGAGGGAAGGCTGCAACAGCACTAGCTGTGTAGTTTTTAATAACTTTTTGCAAATAAAGCTTGCATTCTCCGGAGCCCAAATAATAAAATACAAGTGAATCCCCAGAGAGCTGAATTTTAATTTCTGAGGTTTAGAGTCACAATATTACACCCGCAAAAAAAAACATGTATCATCTCTCTTGTCATTCACAGTCACACAGAGTAAGTTCAGTAAGAGAAAGAAAGCCAACATTAATTTACAGGAAATTATGTACTTAATAACAAACTATTCTATTTGTGTTGTTTCTAAAATGTAGGGGTATTAGATGCTGTTTTAACAGTACAGTAGATACATTTATTCAAAATCCAGGCTAGATCCCTTGTGATAATGTCAGAGTCGAGTCCTGAGAAGGTACCTTAGCGCTGAGTTAGCTTAATTCTAGGCTAGCATGCGAGAACACACTTTCAGCAACCAGCAGCTTCTGAAGATAGTAATTTCTGTATAAACTGAAATAATTTCAGGCTTTGTTAGCAGAAACAGACAGCAGTATCATGAGAGCACACAACAAACTTCTATTTTTCTACACTAGCCTGAAAACAGCATTAGTGTCTCAGATGTTCCAATGGTGCCAGTTTAAAAAGCCTGGAAAGAAAATAGATTAATAAAGCTCTTACTCGAATGCTGTAAATATCCATTAAGGACAGTGCAGAGTGCAAATGTACAGACTGAAGAAAAAATGCCTTTGACAACTTTTGATATAATTTAGAGACCGGTAATAATAGGGCCAGAAGAGAACACTTCAGAAGTCATCTAGTCCATGTTCGATCTCAGCACAAAATGACCAACATATGGCGATAGCTTGTTTTTAAACTAATAAAAGTTAGGGCCTTAAAAATTGTTTTTATTTGGAACTGAAAGCTGCAAAATAAGGCTTAGTATGATTTATTCTGAAAATGTAAGGCAAATGTGTTTTTCAGATAGTCTTCAGGTACAACATTAAAATGAAAAATATCTACTTCTCTCATCATGAAAATAACATCCAGCAGCATTGTACAGTACATGCTTTTGTAACAGACAAGTATCTCTGAAAATGTGCAATTAACAACATGAACTTACTTCTAGAAGAAAGCAAAAGACTTTAAAGAACCCAAGGACTGCACTGTATCAGCCCAATATCTTTAAGAATTCTCAGTATTGTACCATACTTGTACTTCTTCCAGTGAAGGTCAAAAACTGGAAATCCCATAGCACATATTTAATATGCAACTGCATAGAACACCTTTATTTGGTTTTCTAATTTCCAGTTTTACAAAGTCAGTGTAATATGACTAATACACTCACCTCGCGAACTTTATTCTCCTTCATAACATGCCTTGTAATGTATCTGATAGAATCTAGAGCTGCTTCCAAGGTGTTCCTAGATGATTCTGATCCATTTGCATTTCCTGTTTCTTCCTTCTGAGTAAAGTATCTATCTACATGACTTCTCATGCAAAGCAGCTTGGGAAGTTTGTGAAGAAATATCTTGCGAACCCAAGGTGCCATAGCATTGTGTGTAGATGAAGAGCGATGATGAATATTGATAGCAAAGACAGTTATCACAATGGACAATGTCACAAATATCATAGTAAATACCAAGTACTCTCCTATAAGTGGGATAACTTTAGAAGATGATGGAATAATCTCTTCAATGACAAGAAGAAAAACAGTCAAAGATACCAGTACTGAAGTGCAAAGTGAAATTTTTTCACCTTCATTTGAAGGAAGATAGAAGACAAGGACAGTTAGAAACGAAAGCCCAATACAAGGAATAATGAGAAACAATGTGTAAAAAAGTGGCAAACGTCTAATTATAAATGAGTATGTAACAAAAGGATACCAGCAGCATCCATCAGTTCTATTTCCTTTGCTCCCTGTTGCAGTCACTATTTCCCATTCTCCGTTATCAAAAAAGTCTCTTTTGTCTACATCATAATCTTCAAGAATTATATCAACCTGTGAGCCATCGTAAGTCCAGGAACCAAATTTCATAGAACAATTCTGGAGGTCAAAGGGGAAGAAGGTTACATCAATAGTACAAGAACTTTTGTAGTTTGCTGGTGGAGTCCAAGCAATGGTGCCATCATACTTCACCACAGTTTTTGTAGATGTTCCCTCAAAACGTCCATCTGCACTGAAAGAAGAGAGATATATGCATGCAATTACAATAGGGGGGTGCAAGTGTGTGTTTTTAAATAACAAAATATGTTTTGTTATTGTCATTTCAGCCGTTCATCCCTCTTCCCCCTTCATAGTCAAGATTTTGTACTGTTTTCATAGAGGGGGTTTTTTTGTCTTTTTTTTTTTTTTAATCTAAATCTCACACAGGTAAACAGCTTTGGAGAGTGAAGAATATTTTCAAGTCATGAAAAGACCACAACTTTCTGTGGTTCCAATGACTTATGCAAGGGACTGTAAAAATCCTGACCATTAAACAGCATCACCCAACTCTGGTGGTTCTATTGGCAATACAGTATAGATACTTTTAAATTTGGCCAAAGCATAATAATGAAAGGAAAAAAAAGTCATGAAACAGGTAAAACAATACTTGTGTGCCACCTCCAAATTTGAATTTACAATCACTGCTACAGCCTTTTTTCCTGACTCAACAAGTCAGGAAATGTAAAGGCATTGCATATGCACCTGAGTTGAGCAAAAAAGTTAATTCAAAAGTTATTGATTCTGAGATCTGTTAATTCTCAAAAAAATCCCAAAAAACTTATAGTTGAGTGTACTTAATTTTAAATCTATGCTGAATATGACTTACAACAGCATGAACTAGTTGCTCTCCTCCCATCACTCTACACTATTAGTTTGTACCCAATACTGTGCAAGGCATTCTTTTCTAATTAAAAAAAGTTTACACAAATAAGTGGAAATAAACTTTTCAAAGAGACTAGAAATTCCAATACAGAAGCAAAGTATAATATTTAAGCATTTAACATGGCAATAAAATCTATTTGTATTCAAAGGCAAATTCTTCCTCACATTCTTAGCTCTACTAAATGTACACACAATCTATCCAATGAGCCTCCTAGAAGCAGTTTGGATGGTAAAGTTAGAAAGTAAATGTATTTTTATCTTAAAAGATTAAAATCTTACTTGTCATACAACACAATATCTGGAATCCAAATTGAATCTGATGGGACACGAATAGATGTTATTCCAGCATAGTCTTCAGGATTCCACCTTAATTTCACATCTCTCCATTCCTGTGGATATGTGAAATGTGAAAATCACTATTACTGTGAAGTTGATTTAAGAAGGGCAAGACTGGATGAAAATAGACAAAAAGGCAATTAAAAAAAAATCAAACTAGCTTCTAAAATTAGCATAGAACTGCAAATTTGCTGAACAGACATCTATTTACCTCATCCAGTACTTGTTTTCTGTTGTAAAAGCCATTTGACAGTATTTCTGTATAGAACTTAAGATATTAAAATCCTTTTTCAGAGCATGTATACATAAGAACTACTGTAATTTATAGACAATTAAATTTGAAAAAAATCTTGTTCTGAATGAATATCAATGACTTTGGAAGCTGACCAGAAGCAATTTAAACATTTTAATCACAAAAAAAAAAAAAATCATGCTACAGCTCTCTCAGGATAGTCATTCCTATCTCTACTGGTAATACTAAAAATAGCACCACTAAAAGCATAGTGGTACTTTGGTAATTTAGTACTTGAACTAAAATCTCAAGAGGAAAAAATGCAAGATTCACCATCACATAGAATTTTAAATGCACACTCAGGTCAGTTCTTATTTTATTTGAACTGGTTTAACTGCAACAAGTTCTGCAGAAACTATTAAGAGGGCACAAAGCGTTATCATCAACATACTGTCATCTCAGAGTTCAGTAGACTCAAAGTTATCCCGAAAAGAAAAACTTTGCCTGAAATTACAGTTACTAGAGAAGAAGGGAGTGGGAAGCAACAGGGGAAAAAAACAAATGAAGTAGCCCAAACAAAAATAATTTAGTAAGCTAGTAAGTATAATTAATGTTTGCAAACTTTCTTCAAAGCTAATTCAAGAATGATTTGTGAACAGCAATTCCCCAGTTAATAGTGGCCACTAAGTTTATTACAAAGCTTGAGGCTTTTTCCTGCCCATAAACAACTATTCTTAAGAGGAAAAACTAGCTCTTTGTAGCAAGCATAGACAATTCTGAAACTGAAATTCTTCGGTGTTTGTCCAATAATCTCAAATACTCCACAAGAGAAAGATCTTAAAACTATTATACAAAAGACTATTATACAAACCCATACTTTTCAATATAGTTTTGGAAAGAAAACTTATGTACTGAAATAGTAACTTTTATGGTTGGATACACGTGCCTTGGCATATTAAATGGCCATGAAATGCCATATCAGATTTCTTTTAATTAGATTTTTTTAATTAAACTTTTTTTTAAGAGTTTTGTAATAATTAATTATTTAAAGCATTTCCAGAGACATTTTTTAAAGATACTATGTAAAATAACAATTGATGCAACAACTAAGTTTCTGTGAATATACAATTAATTAGAAAAAATTCTTCCAACTTTTGACCTGCAGTTATGAAACTTCAAAATTTTTCATTGATATTTTACACATACCTGCTTCAACCAGACATTTGTTGTCATCAATTGATTTTTCTCATCCTATAAAAATAAAACATATTTTATGAAAAAAAAAAAAACCTGCACAGTACATTCATAGTAACTAGTTGCTTTAGTTCACAGAGGTCTGTAACTTAAAATACGAAATACACTTCTAAAAGCATTCCAGTCACTGGTAAGTATGTTTATACGAGAACTTTTTAAACATACAATTATGACCTTTAATTATTTAACTGTTAAAAGTAGTATTTTTCCCTTTCTGCGTCTCTTTCCTCCATTCCATTTTTTTGACTGTATTTTATGCAGTCTTACTGTTTTTTCTATGGAAACATAAAGGAACAGTCAACATGTGGGAGAAAAATTCCCCTTATACCTATAAACAGTGATTTCAGTTTGAAAAGCAAGTTCTGAAGAGAATAAATATCAAGGAAAAGAAATCTGGTTGATCTTTTTTACATCACAGGTAATGCCAAGAGATAATCTGCATTACTATGGAAGTGAAATACTTAAAGGCTTAGAGGTTTTTTTGCTCTTTGGGGGGCGGGGGGAAGCAGTATTTGCAAGTGTTCCTGAATTTTACAGAAATGAGACTGATGAAGTTTAAGAATATTTGGTTTTCCCATTGAATAAATAAATGAAAAAAACAATTCCCTAGGCTTAAGAACTTTTTTTTTTCTCTCTCCGAAAACTCCACTAAACATAGGGGCCATTTGTCTTCTCAACCTCTTTGCAATCACTTCTTCATGCCCCCATGTACAATGCATTTTTTATTATAGAATCATAGAATGATTAGGGTTGGAA